GGTACGTTCCACATCCTTAGTTTTTGTTTGTTACTCTTAAATTGGGGATTCACGTGAGACTTCTGGAAGGCTGGAAGTGGTACAAAAGTGTCCAAATCCCTCAAAGATCATGCCATCAAAATTCAGTGGAAAAAACTGCCCATTTTTTGCGGCATATTCTTTTCTTCTTTTTGATAACAATTTTGATGACAAGACTCTCCTAATTTATGTGCTAATTCACTGACAATACAGGAAACGTGTTAGAGCATGCACAGTCTTATTGTGCTGAGATAATCCAGGAGTAAACACAGTAAACAGTGGTCTATATTAAATGGTGGTTTATCTTACACTATCTATAATATCATATACCAGGAACAATATACATACACGTGTTAATACAGCAGGCTCCAGCACACAGCAGCTACAGCAGGAAACAGAAGAGAGAGAGAACACAGCAGTAGAGCCTTCCTTTTATACTTGGAGTGTCAAACTGCCGGCCCGCTGACTGGTTGCATCATACAGAGGCCGTGCCCAGAGGCCGTGCCCACCCCAGCTCTGGCAAAAAAAAGCCATGATACATTGCAACATGTCATGTGACACAGCGAGTTTGACACCCATGTTTTATACAAAGGCTCTTAAAGGGACATAGACCCTGCTGAGTCATTCCCATCATTACATCATACATCTCACATTACATAAGCTGGTTAGCTGTTAAATCATAACCTTGACAAAATGTTTGAGGGGGGAAGTGAGTAAGGATCATGCTCAAGTACAGGCAATCCTTGACTTGTGACTAGTTGCTTAGTGATTGTTTGAAGTTACAACAAACCTACCTTGGGACGACTTATAACCTTGATTCAAAGTTTTGACATGGGGGGTGATCATGAGACTGAACTCTGGTCGCTTGGCAACACAGACATATTTACCACCTTTTAGAATTCCCACCGTCACATGACTTCAAATCGCATGACTTCAAATCACCACATCCTCTTTTTGGCAAAACCACCATAGACAACCATTGGTTCGTTGAATGACCACAGCATTCACTTAATAACCACAAAGTCACTTAATGGCCATCACAAAAAAGGTTGTAAAAACCAGGTCGGTCACATGACCAACTCGTTTTACAACTATCATAATGTACAACCGTGATGGGCAGCCTCCATTACAGTCATATGTCGAGGACTACCTATACCAGAGAGCAGTATCTAATATATGTTCCATAGAGATGTAGATATTGGATATGAATTTTCAGTAAGAAACTAATCAGGGTTGGTGGTTAGGAAGAAGAGAAGGTAGTTAATAAATTAAGCATATGAAAATTGAGAATATATAGCAAAGGGATGTGCGAGGGCTCCTAACTATGAAATGGCAGAATTTTGGGGCAGAATTACTAAGATAAATTATCAGCATGCAGGACATTCTAAGCTGGAGAGATACTACAAATTCAGAAACATCTTTCCTGTATCCAAGTCATGCTTAGCTATAGCAATAGTATTTAAGCTTATATACTGCTCCCATAGCACTTTACAGCACTCTCTGGGTGGTTTACAATGTAGACACATTATTTGCATATTGTCCCCAACAATCTGGGTCCTCATTTACTAACCTCAGAAGGATGGAAGACTGAGTCAATCCTGAGCCCTATCAGGACTGAACTCCAGGCTGTGAGCAGAGTTAGACTGCAATATTGCACTGTAACCACTGCACCACCAGGAGTCTCCCATAATTATATATAGACATCCGTGATTATATACTTAGGCATCCTAAAATGGCTATTGTTTTTTATAAAAAAAAACCAGGTTTTTATTTCTCTTTCTAAAAGTGTTAGCAGGCATCAGAGAAACAGAAGAAAAATACTACTACATTGTTCAGGAAGAAAAGAACTACAGGGAAGCCCTTGCTCACTGCAGGATTCGAGAAGGAATCTTAGCGATGCCAAAGGATGAAGCTGCTAACGCAGTGATTTCTGATTACGTCTTCCAGAGTGGTTTCTTCCGAGTCTTTATAGGACTGAATGACATAGAGAAGGAAGGCCAGTTCATGTATGCAGACCGTACACCATTGCAAAGCTACAGCAATTGGAAGGAAGGAGCACCTCAAGACACCCAAGAGAATGAGGACTGTGTGGAGATGCTCAGCACTGGGAAATGGAACGATACGGAATGCCACCTCACCATGTATTTTGTGTGCGAATTCCCAAAGAGAAGGACGTAGGCGAAAGAAGATACCTAAAGTACACTGTAGAATCATTCTTTGACAGTTACTGTTCTGTCCCAGCCTACGTGAGTCCTTGTTGTACTCACAAGGAGAAACCCTTCTTCCAAGAAACAGGCAGGAACTCACAGACCTGAGTCAATGTCCAAGGCAAACAAACACAGTCCACAGAAACTCAATCCTCAGCACGAATGGTTGCCTTTGGCAACCAGCATCTCCCACACCTTCCCTTTTATAATTCAGCCAAGGTGTGGCTTCCTAATGTCCTCTCCTTTGCCTTTGGAGCTGCCCCATTGCATTCCTCTGTCCCACTCTCTTCTCCTGTCTGCACATTTGTACATCCGGCATTTGTCCCAGATGTTCCTCATCACTGTCCAACTCAGGCTCCCAGTACAGCTGTGCCTCAGCCCGAGTGCAATTAGAGGGGCCAGGCTCCTCATTCAACCATAAGTCTTGGAGCTCCTCAGAGCCTTCCTCTGACTCTAATGTCACTCCAGGCCCCTCCTCCTCATCTGATTCCTAGACTCAGCTGCTGGATCCACTGGCTAGTGAGGAATCACAACAGTTACAGGATTTAGGACTATCTTTCCCAGCCTGATGTCACTCAGAACAGTTGGACTTCAATTCTCATCATCCTGACACAATATAAGCATGAAAGGATGGAAACTGAAGTTCAAGATATAGGAAGGGCACCACGCTGAGGATAACGGGTCTTAGGAAAGAACCTGATTCCCAATGGAAGAGAATATTTGTAGCTCAGGGTTGAACTCTGGGGCCCTTGGTGCTGTCTGAGCTTCATTACCCAACCAGATAATATCATCAGTGCAGAAAACCACCAAACTCAGAGAGCACCAAGGAACCTGCAATCTGGTTCTCATTCAGGGACACAGGAACAAATTTACAATTGGACATTAAAATTCCAAATTGTGGGATTTTTCTTCCAAGTTAGTATTTTAGTAGCACAGAATTAAGACGGAATTTTGTTCTTTATGCTAAGACAGAGTAGGCAACTTGCTACCTGCAGGCACCTATTTACCACCAGAGACTTCTCTTAGTGTGCACCAGATCCCATCTTCAGTTATATAAATTTAACATTATTTTAGTCAAAAAACCAGAAAGCTGGTAAACTGCAAAACAAAGCATCAATGTCCACCATCATATGTATTTGCTTTAGAATTCACAATGGACATATAATCTCACTTATTGGAATGATAGGAAACCAGTTCATCTTCAGTAAAATGGTTAGAGGTAGTCCTGATTTTACAACCATTTTTATCACAGTCCTTAAGCGAATCAGGCAGTCTTTAAGTGAATCATGCAGTCATTAAGTGAATCTGGCTTCCCCCATTGACATTACTTCCCCCATTGTCAGAAGCCAGCAGAGAAGGTCACAAATTGGGATTGCATGGCTGCAGGATGCTGCAATTGTCATAAATATGAGCCAGTTGTGATCATGTGACCATGGGGGTTTTATGATGGTCAAAACTTTAAGTATGGGTCGTAAATCACTTTTTTTAGTGCCGTTGTAACTTTGAACAGTTGCTAAACAATTTGAGAACTACACGCATTTTGTGAGTGGCCATGCCCTCTATTTTACAGTGCAGGTAGTCTTCGAACTATGACCACAACTGAGCCCAAAATTTATGTTGCTGAGTGAAACAGTTAAATGAGTTTTGCTCATTTTATGATCTTCCTTGCCATTGTTGTTAAGTGAATCACTGCAATTGTTCAATTAGTAACAATATTGTTAAGTGAATCTGGCTTCCCCATTGGCTTTGTTTTTAGAAGGTTGCAAAAGGTGATCACGTGACCCTGGGATACTGCAACCATCATAAATATGAGTCAGTTGCCAAGTTTATGAATTTTGATCACATGACCATGGGGATGTAGCAATGGTCATAAGTGTGAAAAGTCACTTTCTCAGTGTCATTGTTAACTTTAAATGGTCACTAAATTAACTGTTGTAAGTCAAGGATTGCCTTGCCTATTTTATGAAAAATCAAGTCTTCTACAACAGCCATTTTTTGATTGTGCCTATGTCAAGCTCTCACAATTTCAGCTGTGGCCCTAATCTCTTTTTTCTTCTTAACTTCTGACATTCTGCACATATGCATCTGAAGAAAATGTAGCCCTAGGGCACACGTGATGGGGACAGGGAAAATCAAAGCTATGAAAGAACAAAGCAAATAAATTTTTCAGCTACAAATGTGTGGATCGGTAACTGGGCAGAGTTCCATTCCAGCAGATTTACGTCTGGATTTTTAATTAATTCTCTGGATATAAATCCCGGGTAGTGGGAGAGATTTATTTACTTCTGAAAATGCACAAAATGGCCCTTTCTTTATATTTATGGCCAAAGGGATTTATTACAGAGATTGCATCTCTTTTGTCACGCGTCCTGGAATAAACGTGTGATTGTATGGTTTGTGTGGTCTCATAGTTGGTCCAGGAAGTGCTACAAAAGGCATTCAGCTGCCCAGGCTACTATAATAGTATTGAGCTTTACTATTATAATAAAATAGGGGGGGGGAGTTGGATGTCCTGCCTGCATTTCACATCTTCAAAAGCAAGATGAATTAGCTTCCTGGAAATTTGATCCTAGCAAATTACATGGCAAAATTCTTTTACATCTTTACTTCAAATTACTCAAGTTCTCCTCTGATCTCAGATCCTTACCTTCAAGTTAATCCTTGACTTACGACCACAATTAGAACTAGAATTTCCATTCCTAAGCAAGGCAGTTGTTCAATGAGTTTTATGACCTTTCTTGCCATGACTGTTAAGTAAATCATTATGGTTGTTAAGTGAATCACACAGTTGTTAAGCAAATCCAGCTTCCCCCCATAGACTTTGCTTGTCAGAAGCCCACTGGGAAGGTTGCAAATGGTGATCACATGACTGCAGATGTTGCAACCATTGTAAATACAGGAGTGTTGCCAAGTTCCAAAACTTTGATTACATGACCATGGGGATACTGCAACAATAATAAGTGGGAGGACTGTCTGTCAGTCACTTTTTTTGAGTTGGGCTATACCAGGAGTAGGCAACCTTGGCTCTTTTGTGACTCGTGAACTTCAACTCCCAGAATTCCTGAGCCGGAATTCTGGGAGTTGAAGTCCATGAGTCACAAAAGAGCCAAGGTTGCCTACCCTTGGGCTATACCTTCCGATGGTCATTAAACAAATGATTGTAAATTGAGGACAACCTGTATCGATAATCCTGTGGTAAGAAAGGGTGTTGGAAGGTATTTTCCACTTGATTTTAGATTTAGTCCACACATGCAGAAGAAGGGAAAACAGTTTTCAGAGCTCCAGTTAATAAACAGACAATATTTGTGACTGCTCCCCTATTGCTCGATTCCTTCCAAAGGTTTGAGGGAATCTGAGCAAAATTCAAGATGGGAGTTCCTCATGAATATTTGTTTATGAATGGTTATGGCCAGGGCTTTTCTTGTCATAGAACACCCAGAACGCAGTTACGGCACCTTTTTTGGATGGAACCTTGTAGGGTAGGCAAGGCCGGTTGTATGACATGTGTGAGTTCCAGCATCATTTTTTTTCTTTACAAAAAAAGCACTGGTTATGGCAAAGCATCAAGTCCCAACAGCAGAATACAACCCAGCAGGAGAGCGCACTAGGAATCTCAATAGTTAATTTATTGCTAAGAAAGTAAAACATTAATGTACTGAATCTTGAAAGTTGAGTAAGACAGAATTCTAGCATTCGTTTTTTAAGTACATGCATTAAAGCAGAGTCTCTGAGAATCATTTCAACTACTTTTTTCAGGACCAATGAGCTAACCAATCTTTTTCCAGATTAGATTAATCCTAAAATATCCATCTGCTCATTGTTGTTATTGTTTGGATACACCTTCTTTTCTTCCCAGCCCCACAATCTCTTCTGAACACATTTTTCCATTGCATCTTAAGACAGGAGGCTACCTTTAAGAGCACAAGGCTGGCTGTGTAACACACAGTTTTCTCCTGCATCACTCCCAACATCTGTTGCCCAAGGTCCCTGTTTCAATCTAACTCTTTGTATAACCAGCCCTGCCTACTGAAAGAAATCAGAGCAGAAAACCAGTGCAGCCAGGAAAAACTTGGGCTAGTTTTTTATTAGAGGAAAGATATAGTTTTACTAACATAGTGGAGCCTTTCATACCAGAAATATGAGAAGATGCAAAGATCTTGCTTTAAATGTAATTTAGAACTGAAAATCTACTATGAAGTACTGCTGTAGTGACCAGATACAATTGCAATGCAAAGTGAAAAACTTGAGGATTATTTTATCCATTGTGCTTTGGGACATTGTGCTATGATCTTTTTGATTTGTGACAATGAGCAGAAAAAAGAGCAGAAAAACCCGAATCACAGGTTCTTCTGAGAGACGGCATTGGAATCACCAGTTTTCTGAACTGCTTTTCAGTCCAAATTCTGCCAAATTTGCACTATCTACAGAGATGCTAAAAAAAAGGGAAGAAGGATTTATTTAAAAAATAATTACAGGATGTCATCCAAAGGGAGGCCAAGTATTATCCACCATAGTTAAATTCTTTTCAGACAGAGGCAGACAAAGGCAGAAAATTAAAAATGTTAGTAGTTGTGGAGAAAGCTAATTATTTCAGGAAATGAGATTTTGATGCTGTTGACTCAACTCTTTAAAATGCTCCTTGATGCTACTTTTACAAAACCAATAAATATCCATCTAAGGGACCAAACTAATCTACTTCTTTTCTGTAATGAACATACAATAGCATGAACAGGGTTTAAGGAACCCCCAAATGAAATAAACTGGCCAAAATCAGTAATTCTCACAAGATGTCAGTTTTCACTTAATATTAGCAAGATCTTGGGAATGACACTGCAAAGGACTGATAAGATTTAATGTATAAGAAAGTTGGTCCACTTCTGCCAGAATTGAGGATGCGCTCATGTTGGGAATTGATTTAGATTGTCCCCTATTTTCTTTTGAGGTTAGAAGTTGTTGCTTATCTTCCATGACTTTAATCTTATCGAACGGCCTGTTAGAACTGACGTTTGCTTCATCAGTAGCTGAGATGCACATGTACAGCTTCTATCAAGATGATAATTGATTTTAGCAATTGCTCCATTTTGTGATTGGTCACAGCCAGCCAGATGTTTAAACTGACATTTTTATCCAATTGTTGAGTCCTGTCAAGGACCTGGATAGGCAGATGTTGATGTTTCATGGTGGTAAAGGTATTGTCATAGGATGTAAGCTCTTCCAAGTATAGCTGTCTTTTGCAATTGACTGATAGTGATTTTGTCAATGCCAATGATGTTCAATTGGTTTTGGGATTGTACCCAAAGTGCCTATTACTATTGGTACTATCTTTGCTTTCTTTTGTCACAGTTGTTCTATTTCTTTTGCAGGTATTTGTATGTTGTGTCTTTTCTCCAGTTCTTTCTCATTATTATGGTTATTTATCAGATTTTAAATGTATTCATTATTCTTGCAGATGTTTTAATGGCACTTGGATAGTTGGCTTTACCGCTGTTGATTGCTATTGTTATTAACTGCAAGGTGTCCTTTGCAGATTCAGCAGTATACAGATGCAACAAATAAAGAATAACAGGGTTGGTACAGCTCTGTTGGAATTTAAATGCATGCTGAAATATTTCTACTCATTGTGGCATAACACTGCACTGAACTAGATATGGTCATTTATATATCTCATATTATTCTGAATGTTTACTACTGCATTTTGTGTGCTTTTCTATTATTTTGTATTACGGTGATTGGGCAGTTTTTGTTTTCTACTTTGGAATTGCTGGAGTATATAATAAATTTTCATAAACAATGGGGGGTGTTACTGCAGGAGGAAAAGCACTCAAACACTCAGAAAAGAATATCGGTTGCTAATACAGCCAAACCACGGCACTTTTGCACTCTATTACAGTAATATAAAAAGTGTCCAGCAGAAAGAGCAGAGGGTATTGAAGCAACTAATTGCACACTAATCCCCAAATGACATTTGGCAAAATCTTTCCTGTGTTGGTTTCCAAGCCTATGTATGAGACTGTGCAGAATTCTATTATTATATTATGCAAATTTATCTTGATCTAAAACAAGAACGGGCAACTTAAGAGCCTAAATTCTCCAGTCTTGTTTTTGCCATTCCTAGAGCTTTCCTACAATTGCACTGCCAAAATTTAGTGAATACAAAGCCAGTTCCTGGTAGCATGAATGTTGGTTTTATTTTTCCATGGAAATAAGAACAAAAATGAGTGTGTGAAGCCATTGCTAAGCTAAAGATACTTGTTTTCTTTTATCCAACACCACTCCCAAAAAGGATTTGAAAAAAGAAAAGATTCTTCCTCTCCAAGGATCTCACTAGAGAAAATCAGAAAAATTGAAGTAGCAGCAAACAATGGAATGAAGGGACTGTTCATTGTATATACACATTTGTTTGCTCTCTCTATGCACACATGGATTAATGCACGCTCTCTCACACATACACACATATACATATATATTAGCAGAACTGTAGTTTACATCTTTTCCTGCTTTCCCCATTCACTTCGCATCATAAATTAACATTGTATGATATGTGTATCCTTTGAGATTAAAATAAATACATTCAAAATTGGTTTCATATCTTATCATTCTTCATGATGAAAAGAATCCTTTGTAATGAAGGAATTCTTGTCAATTTTATAGTTCGTGCCGTAGCACAATGTGCCAACACAAAGCCTTGCATATCTCTAAATCTGCGCACCCAAAGGAGATTTTGCTGTGCATATTTTTCATTAAAAGGATTTGGTTTTCCTCTTTTCTGAAGCATGTCTGCTTTAATCTAGCACAAAGAGCAATCTCCCTACTTCTCAGAAGTCTTTGGTTCCAATCAAGCACAGCCATCCTATTTCGATCACCAATGTGACAAAACATGCTGTGTCTATAATTATAAAATACAATTGCAATTTTGTAAGGACATTTCAGCAGAACTAAGCAATTCATGCATATGGACTCCCTTTCGTTAGGTATATTCAAGCAGAGGCCTGCTAGCCATTTGAAAGAGAAGCTTTAATTTGGATTCCTACTAAGGAGACTTGGATTTGATCAAATTGCCTATGATTCTAATCCCTAGAATAGCAGTACATGTGGTCCTTGTTTAGGGATCATTTGCAGTTATCATAGCATCTATGGAGATTCTCAGTCATCCAGGTCATGGTTGTCCCAAAGGTGCTTTTTCAAGAGGCAACTGGACTTTATTCGTTTTTCCTTGAAGACGTTTCACTTCTCATCTAAGAAGCTTCTTCAGAACTGAAGAAGCTTTTTGGATGAGAAGCTAAACGTCTTCAAGGAAAAACAAAGAAAGCCCAGTTGCCTCCTGAGAAAGCATCTTTGGGGCAGTTACAAGAGTGATGAAAAAAGTAACTTTACCACCAATTCTTGCATTTACGACCTTTGCAAGTCAGCAAAGGGAAGCTAAAGATCATAAGTATGGTTGTGGTTTCACTTAGTTACTACGCTGCTTAACAAAGAGTTGCTAGACACCAAAAGGACTACCTCTAATAGCATTCCGGCAATAGAACCCACTTCCCTAAGAAATGATGCATTTTCCTGCCTTGAACGTGTTCAAGGGACTAAGCAACCATCTTTCTGGATGCTTTGATATGGATTTCTGCACTGAACAAGGACTTGATCCTGATGACATAGGCCAGGGTCCCCATCCTTTCCAGCTCTGCAGACCGGAAGCGGCAGTGGTAGCGGCGATCTGGGGGGGGGGGAAGAGGTTCATGCACACAGCCACTGCTTGCACAAATAGAGCTTTGTGCACTCACTTGTTGATAACGTGGCCAGGTTCCTAACAGGCTGTGGCCTGGTACCGAGCCACAGATGGGGGGCTGTGGACCCCTGACATAGGCACGCCTCTCCAAAGTACCTCTTGATAGTATTAGTAATACTATAAATCCACCACTGATTGCAAAAACACCAAAATGGGTTCCTCTGTACTTAACACTGAACAGAATCCGCTAACATCTGTGAATTTCTGCTCACAAACCTACCCAACAAAGCATATATTCAGGAAAGATTTTTTTTTAATGTATCTCTTTTTTCCAACATTCATATCTTTAAAATTCTATTCCGGGGGGGGGGTCTGTGTAACTGTATTTAAAAGCACAGAAAAAGTTGCATAGGAAACAATTTTAAAAAATCAACAGACTAATTTGAAAGGGGTGGTTCACTATTCTAACTGTCTACTGAATATGAAGAGATTGCACTGATTTACATTATTTGTGTAATGAAGTCAGGACAGAGATCGTTTTATTTTCATAATGATGCTATTATTCAAATGAATCAGATCAGAGGAACAATGAATTTCCGAATTTTTTGATTCCGCAGTGGAATACTTCATTGAGTTGCTTATTTTATTGAAAAAAATGTATAGGGTGAGTCAATTCAAACACCATGACTCCAGGTGGTTTACAATAAACCCCAAATAAGCAAAACCATATAGCAGGGGTGTCAAACTGCCAGCCGGTAGGCTGGATGTACCATAGCATCCACCACATTGCCAGCAATGGCAAAAAAGTCACAATACTTATTTATTTATTTATTTATTTATTTATGAGTCTTATATACCGCTTTAAGTGCAAGCACTCCCTAAGCGGTGTACACCAGTAAGCAATGTATATATATATTTACATTGCCCCCAACAATCTGGGTCCTCATTTTACCTACCCCGGAAGGATGGAAGGCTGAGTCAACCTTGAGCCGGTGAGATTTGAACTGCTGACCTGCTGAACACAGTCAGCTAAAGTGGCCTGCAGTACTGCACTCTAACTGCTGCGCCACCCCGGCTCCATATAATACGTCATGACACATCACGTGACGTTGCGAGTTTGACACCCTTGCCATATAGTGTCATGGCCCAGGACTCTGAAAAAACTGCTCCAGCTGAACCTGTGAAATGTCAGTTTCACAGGTTCAGCTGGAAATGCCAAGCCACGAATCACTTGAGGGTGATCAAACACAGGCTCCATCTGAACAGCGGGAGCAATCACATGATGACAGGCAACCTTAAAGAACTTGGACAGTAAAGCAGAGAGAAGTCAATGAGGCTCCTTGCCAAGCAAGGGAGTAACTCTCTCAATTAAAGACAGCTGCCTATAACCTGATTTAAGAAGGAGCCCTGAGCCATTTTTCTCTATTGGAAACAATTGTCTCATTTCCTGCTCTGGTGTGTCATTCTTGTGAAACTCTGATCTTGGATTAGCTGACAAACCTGACTTGGCTCTCTGACGTTTGGACTGAATGTTGACTCTTCTATGGGCTTATATTGAAAGTGAAACCACTCAGACATGCTTTTTTTCCCCAGATGCTCTGTTTTGATTTACATTCCTTGTCTGTGATCTATTGAGCCTTGAGTAAATTACTATTTTCACCTAGCGACTGAATTTGGAACCTAAAACAGAATAGGCAGTTCTGATACACTGAAAATGAGCCCTTGATAGGCAATCAGGGATTTGAAATTATTCTCTAGACTGGGACCCCCAATCATCCTAACCACGATGCCTGAGGAGCTAACTGGGAGAGAGGTGGTCACAACATCACCAATTCAAGGAGGACAAAGGCCAGAATCAGTGCCTAAACACTTAAACTTACCTTATAATTTATAAGCTACAAGGAAAATACAGTCTGCAATCACTAGGAAGATGAAGGAAACGCCTATCGTGAATCCCCAGATCAGACACTACCATCTCACATACTCCAAGGAGTAGCATACAAGTAGTCCTCAACTTGCAACCATTCATTTAGTGATCATTCAAATTTAAACATTTAAAAATGGAAAAAGTAACATATTGGTTTTCACCCAACTGTAGCAACATCCATGATCAAAATTTGGGCACTTGGCAACTGCCATATATTTATGACAGTTGCACTGTCCTGGGATCATGTGATCACCATTCCCAGCTGCCTTCTGACAAGCAAAGTCAATGAGGGAAGCTAGATTTAAGCCCATTTCTGGCAAAAAACATAAATCATGTTCACGTGACTTTGGAATGCCACATAAATGCAAGCAGTTGCCAAGCACCCCATGTGTGATCATGTCACCATTTGGTGGGGCTTCGAAACTTCAAATCTAAGTTGTAAGTTCCTGTTTTGGAGTGTGTTGTAACTTTGAACATCGCTAAACTACCAGTCATAACTTGAGGAGTACTTGCACATATATTGTATTCTTTTTATAGGAAACTTACTGTTCTAAATATACCAGTTGCTGAATTTCCTTATCAGTCTTCCTGTAAATAAAATTACCTTTTTTGCCATTTGAAGAGACTTGATTGTAGATATCAGATTTAAGCCAGCAGATGCCATATATAACTGAATAGATTACACAATAGTAATAGAGTGTGGGGGGGGGGAAATTAGAGAACACTCATATACCTACACATGCCTCTCCTGTCCTCAGTTTCTTACTCATTCTCTAGAGTAAAATATACTCAAATGTTTTGAAGAACATTCAATAATTGTTGAGGTTAAAACTTGCATTATCATTGAGTGGTTCCACATCTTAATGTAAGTCATATAGTCCAGTTATCTGAAAAGAAGATGAATCACAGCAAAAGATTATATCCATATGCACAAGTATAGAACTAATATAGCATTGAAAATGGTGGTCATTTCCCCCCCCCCCAATTAAGTACAATGAGTCTGCCTCCTTGATCTGGTTTTCGTTCTGCCCCACTTTCACAGCGCCTCAAATTATTTATCCAATTTGGAAGCTTCGCTATGCAGCTCTGAAGCCAACTTTTTACTCATTAAAAAGGGTGGAGTTCATCATAACAAGTATAGTCCTGTTGAGCAGAGAATAACATAGCAGGAAGAGCTAAGGAAAAATTTTATGAAGATTTGCAGGAAATGATGGCCTATGTTTTAAAAGGCACTGCCCATGCTTGGTAATGATTCAGCAGTGAAGCTTTAGGGTTAATTTTAAGCCCAGTTTCCCAGGGCTACAACCACACAATAGTGGGCACAGTTTAGATTTTAAAACCCCACTGAAGCTGAAGGGATAATTAAAAGCAAGCCTCCAAATTGGTTTGCAGACATTTTATTATATGACTAGATTGTATTTATTATTATAAAAGTGCATTTAAAAAGAATGACTAAGTATTGTTCATATATATATATATATATATGTGTGTGTGTGTGTGTGTGTGTGTGTGTGTGTGTGTGTGTGTGTGTATGTGTATATGTATATGTATATGTATGTGTATATGTATGTAGGTCTTTGGTTATTCGGGTTTTCTCCCGCATAAAATTGGAAGTGTCTTGGTGACGTTTTGACAAAGTCCCATTCGTCATCTTCAGGCTGGTGTTTTCAGCTTCATGCTTCGAGAGCAATGTATGATCTTAGCTGTTTCTTCCTTTTAACTGCCAGTGGGGTATGAACTGATTGGGTGGGAGCTTGGCTGTGTTCTGATTGGGTGGAGGTGTGTTCTGATTGGTTAGGGGCTTGGCTGTGCTCTGATTGGATGGGGGGTTGGCTGTGCTCTGATTGGATGGAGGAGTGTTCTGTTTGGGTGAGGGCTTTGTTGTGCTCAGGTGAGTCTGAGTTGCAGGGGGGTTTAAGCTCCCACCCAA